ATTTTTAATATTTAAGTATTAAATTATTAAATAATAATTTTATTATTTATTTTACTCTTATATATTACTTAATATAAATTTTTAAAAAGTATAAGTTTTTTTTTAAGTGGATTTTTTTTTTCGGAATTACCGGGACCGACTGTAACTATCGCGACAGTCAGAAGGGGCGAAACGAACACGTGCCGGACATTAAACGGAAAGGACAAAAGCCATAGTAGTCAAAAGGCAAATCATGTCCCCCGCGCCATGCACCTCGCCGGATCAAGCTTAATGGACAAAGACAGCGTGGGCCGACTGGAACCTTTCGAGTGAAAGCCAAACGTGGTGGCTGTGTGGAGGAGGCGCAGTTTGCGCTCCAACTTGGCGGCCCTTCAGCTTTGAGCCTACTGCATCACAGCTCAGACGCACGTACCTTGGCTGTCTGGATAATCACAGAACCCATCCATCAATGGGCGGAAGCCGGTCTGAACGTGGCGGCGCCCAAAACAACAGAGCCAAGTTCTGAGTAGGAAAGGTAAGGCGGACTCGCTCCAAACAATCAGCTCATGACATGGATTGACAAGCCATGTCAAAGTCGAAATTCCGTCAATGCACGGCAATGTACTCCACGCATATGGGGTGACACATGTGATGCCATTGTACATCCCATCGGTTGTGTTAAGGCTGCAAGCAGGTCACTTGGACCCACATTAATCGACTGCAGCTAGGTACCTCAAGTGACCGCTAGTCGCGTTAAGGGTGTAATGTATGGGATGTAGCTCTTTGTAACTCGGATGCTTGCTGGGACTTCTATTATAGTGTAATTTAGGTGTGGAATTAAGTACCCTTCATAATCCGGCTTCTAATTGGATGAAAATCCCTACCGGTACAAGCTTACAGCCTTAACACAACCGAGGGGATACAGTACGTTTATGTTAAAATGGGTTACTTATTACGGGTACTAATTACGTACGCATAATTAAATAAGGGTAAACCCTTATTTACGAGTAAATAACCCTAATAATAAGC